CTGAATTCCCACAAGAGGCTAAGCCAATAAGAAGCAACATATTACGGCTGATCGTTCATTCCGATCAGCCCTAACCCCACCTATATCTGATGGCTAAAACTTCAAACAGCAAACAAATATCCTTAAAAATTACATAAAATAGTATGTAATTTGCTCATCATCTTCAGAGTAAACAAGAAATGTATAAAAAAGGTATATTCCTTATTTTTTTTTTTTCCTTTTTAGACCAGCATGGCTGCCTTTTCTTTTGGACAAGGTTCATACAACATACTAAGTCACAACCTCTCTTTCAGCTTACATTCCAACCAGATGAGGTTCAGTTTGGGCAAGTGTTAGAACCTGGTTTTGAGTAGAAAAATCAAAGACATGGATACAAGATTGGGAAGACCTAGGTTGGCAGCAATACATGTGAGGAGGACACAGGAGTATGAATAGACCATCATCTGAATATGAATAAATAATGATATGTCTTGGTCTGCCTTAACAAAAGTATTGTTGCCCACATCACAGGAGATGATTGTCCTATTGTACTTTGCACTTACCAGACTGCCTTTGGAATAGTGTGTCTAGCACTGTATGACAAAAAGGAGGTAGAGAAGCTGGAGATGGTACTAAAAGATCTGGAAACTGAGCCATATTAGGAATGGTTAGCGGAGTTGTGCATGGTTAGCTTGCAGAAGGGAAGACTGACTAGGGGATATGAAAATGCTCAGCAACTTTCTAAAAATCTGTCATGTGTAAGAGGGGGAAGATCTGTTTTCTATTGAAACTGAGAGCAGGAAAAAGACCCAAAGGTTTAAATTAAAAGAAAAGAGATTCAGGCTGAATATTTGCAGGAATTTCCTGTTAAGGAGTAGTATAGCTTGTCCAGGACAACAGTGAATGCCCTCCACCCACCCCTTGTTGGGCGTTTTCAAACAGTGGCTCAGTAGCCACTATTGGGGTTCCCTTAGCAGATTTCTGTACACAGAGGGTTGGATCGGATGGCCAGTAAATTCCCTATGAGTCTATGGTTTGTTTAAACATGGTTTATTAAAAAATACAATTGGTTGGCTTCATATAATGCACTAAACCCAAATCTGCGGCTTACAAACCACAATGGTTGTATTCCCAAAGAAGCAGACCATATCATGGCTTTGCATGGTAGTTGAATGTTTCAAGAATAGAGAGTATATGTAGCTCAAGGTTGAATTATTGGGTTCCTGATGCTCTCTGAGCTTAGGTCATCGTTCCTCAACCTTGGCAACTTGAAGATGTGCAGACTTCAACTACCAGGATTCCCCAGCCAGCATACTGGAAATTCTGGGAGTTGAAGTTCACCTTTCTTCAAGTTGCCAAGGCTGAGAAACACTGGCTGAAATGTTTTCCTCCAGGTCTGCTATAATAGCTTCTGGAAGACAAGGTGGATCAATATTGTGCTAAACAAAGAAGGTAGTCTAATGTTCTGAATTTCCTTTTCATGGCCTTTCACATCTGATCATTTTCCTCTTTTTTATTGTTTTCTTTTAATGTAAATTAAAGGAATTTACATTTAATGTAAATTAAAGGAGTGTGTTCCATATAGCACTGTGCACATTATTTAGCAATACTCATACCTGTTGAGTATTGATTGATTGCAAATGTTGAGATAATTATTTCTGGATATCCAACAAGTTTCAAATAACTGCCATCTATTTTTGTGTTTGTTCCTGAGTTTCAGGCTGTCAAAACTTTTGATTATCTGAAACTCTTCGTAGGGCAGGGTTCCTCAAGGTGGACTTCAACTCCCAGAATTCCCTAGCCAGAGTTGAAGTCCACCTGTCTTAAAGTTGCCAAGGTGGAGGAACCTTGGAGTAGGGGATTCTGGGGACTGCTAAAAAAAAATGGCCTGAGGTGCCTGGGGCTCACAGAGCTGCAAACTGCCAGTCCAGCCTTATGTACAAACAGTATTATTTTTTTCTTAAAACATATTATTTTAATGAACAAATTTTATAATTAAAT